TAACTTGGTTAGTTTTTGCTACTTATTTACATGCTCGAATTACCAAAGGATGGGAAGGAAATCGAACTGCAATTCTTGGTGGATTAGGCTTTTTTATAATTTGGATTTGTTATCTAGGAGTCAATTTTTTAGGAAAAGGACTTCATAGTTATGGTTGGGTTTCGTAAATCTGAATTTTCATAAATAAAAACTTTTTTATTTATGAAAATTCAGATTTATCGATTGAGTAGCGAAAAAAAGGAATGAAAACTGAACGGTAACACCAAATAGTTTAGATAAATTAAATATATGAGAAATAAAATTACTAAATATAACATATTACTATTATTCTAAGAGATTAAAATAATCCCACTACCTCAGTTTTTATATAATTTGATAATGTAGCTTAAATTATAAATTTGTCAAAAATTAGCGATATTTAACGTCAAATTCTTAAGAAGTATTCTTATAATTCAAGAAATTTAATTTTTGAGGCTAACCCAAATTTATTAATTTAATGCTTATAATATCCGTTGTTAGGATATTAACTTATTGTTATTTTATCGCCTAATAGTTCAACTATATTATTTTGGTCAATTATTTTCTAATGAAAAGGATTGATCAACGTTTTCAATATTTTTCAATAGTCTTAAATGTCCGTAGAGGAGAAAGTGTTAATTGGGAATCATTAACAGATAATAAGATAGTTGAGAATATTGTTAGATTAAAGTTTTTAACCCCAATGGAATTAGGAACTTTTTTTAAGAATTTTGAGGGAATTGCTCAAAATTCGAATGTAGATAAATCAAGAGTTCGAAGATTTAGATTTGAACGTTTTATCGGTCAGTTAGAGAAAGGTTCAAATAATGGGCGTCCTCATTATAATGTATTGGTAATGACATCATGCAAAGTTTTGACTTCAACCGTTGTACGTGAGTTATCATTAGCTTTATATGATGTCAAAAATTGTAATTCAATAAGTGTTGAGCCGACACATGATGTTAACTCATTAGAAAAATATTGTTTAAAATCAGAAACAAGATTAGTGCTTCCATCAACCATTTATTATCCACCATTAGTCGATATTCGGATAAGTGAGTTTATTGAAGCACGGGAAGAAGATAAAGAGCTAAAAAAGTTCATAGCCATCCTCATTTGTACCAACAAGTAATATTCGCATTGATTAGAATGAAACCGGAACGGCGTGAGGTAAATTTTAGATTTAATCCAGAATTTAATGCTTTATTAGCTCCTCAGTTAGGATAGCAGCTTTTATTGATCAATTAGAGCAATACGTACTGTTAAATAAGGTTTATACCCAACAACAATAATAATAGATATGACTCGGAACGAAAATAACGCTAACGTAGAAGCTTTATACTCAACTATTGAAAATATAAAGAATGGTCGAGTAGACTCAACTTTTTATGGACGGTTTAAACGATTAAGGTTTAAATCGCCTCATATAATTGTTTTTACTAATAATGTTCCAAATATGTCTGCTCTGTCGTCAGATAGATTTAATTTATTTGCTTTAGCAGACAAAGACCATAATTATACAATTGTCAAGTGTGAAGTTAATTTAAAAATAGAGACTTATAGTAAATCTCTGGTTACATGGTATTATAAAGCAAGAGTTAGTCGGGATGAAGATCAAGAAAATTTTTACAAAAAAATATTAGATGCCAACATGACTAAAAGTATCATGTCAGCATTAATAAATAAGGATGGTCATATAAATAAAAAGCAATTCGATGGTGATCGAAGAACAAAAACACACACGAATGCACCTGAGCCAGTTCAGGAGTTATTAAATAAAATTTTATCAGAAGATATAAACTATTGACTCTATACATCAATTGATGTATAAAGGTAAGATGTGCACACAAGCACTTAAAAAAATGTGACGAAACGAAGATATAATTATTATATTATTTCGTCATTAAAATTTCAAGTTATATTTTTATAAAAAGTATATTTATGTCATTATATTTAGCTTATTCATATAGTAGTTGTTTAACAGAAGAAGAAGAAAATAAAATTAATAGAAAAGTAAGTGGGTCTCAAAAAGAGTTTATTCGAGGTGCTAATACAGCTTTGATGTTATATTCAATCTATTCATTAACAACGAGTGCAGTTAATGCAAGTGATAGTTGTCCTTCAACAGATCGAGTTCCATCTAAAGCTAATGCACCAGCACCTAATAATGGTTTTAAACCTGTTCCAGAGAAGCATAAAGTTGCAGCAGGTACTGGAGCTCTTAGTATATGCGGAGCTTTTTTTAGTAGTGGTGATTACTTATTAGGATTAGGTTGTGTTGGCATGGCATTCATAATGATGAAAATTCTAAATCGAGAATAAAAATTTACAATTTTATAAGAATCCGATGTATTTTTAAACCTTGAAATATCAACTTTAAAACAAGATCAAATTTCAAAAATCATCACTTTAAACAGTTCTTAAACCCTGACATATAAAGGTTTTAAGACTGTTTACGGAAAAAAATACATCGCTGATTTTAATGATGTACGATTTGTTGTATTTTTAAACCTTGATTTATAGGGGTTTAAGAGTATTTTTAGACGAAATACATCATTTACACATAGAAATAATAATAAACTATATAAATGAATGATTGGGCTGTTAGGTGGTTTAACCGATGACAAAGTCATCGCCTAACAGCCCAGTTTAATTAGGTCTGATTATATGAGAAGTAAGAAAATTAATGAACGTTTTCAATATTTTTCAATAGTTTTAAACGTTCGTAAAGGAGAAACTATTAATTGGGAATCATTAACAACCGATGAGATAGTTGAAAGTATGGTTAAATTAAAGTTTATAACTCCAATGGAGCTAGGAACTTTTCTCAAGAATTTTGAGGGAATTGCTCAAAATTCGAATGTAGATAAATCAAGAGTTCGAAGGTTTAGATTCGAACATTTTATCGGTCAATTAGAGAAAGGTCTAAATAATGGTCGACCTCATTATAATCTATCAGTAATGACTTCATGCAAAGTTTTGACTTCAACAGTGTTAGGTGAGTTATCATTAGCTCTATATGGTGTCAAACCTTGCAACTCAATAAGTGTTGAGCCGACACATAATGTTGATTTATTAGAAAAATATTGTTTAAAATCAGAAACAAGATTAGTACTTCCATCAACAATTTATTATCCACCATCAGTTGATGTTCGGATAAGTGACTTTATTGAAGCACTAGAAGAAGATAAAGAATTAAAAAAGTTCATGACCATCCTCGTTTGTACCAACAAGCAATATTCGCATTGATTAAAATGAAACCGGAACGCCGCGAGGTAAATTTTATATTTAATCCAGAAGGTGGGAGCGGAAAATCGCTAACAGCGGATTATATTACTTTAAATCCAGAATTTAATGCATTATTAGCTCCTCAGTTAGCATCTCCTGAAAGATGGATAGCAGCTTTTATTGATCAATTAGAACAATATGTAGTGTTAAATAAAGTTTACCCAACAACAATAATAATAGATATGACTCGAAACGAAAATAATGCTAACGTAGAAGCTTTATATTCAACTATTGAAAATATCAAAAATGGTCGAGTAGACTCAACTTTTTATGGACGGTTTAAGCGATTAAGGTTTAAATCACCTCATATAATTGTTTTTACTAATAATGTTCCAAACATGTCTGCTTTAATTCGTTTTCGATCCTGGTCGGATACTGCATTTTCTAAGGGTAGATCTATCCTTAGTTTTTGTGGGTCGTCCTCCAGATTGATTAATCGATTTTAAAACTTTATAGATAGTATTCCGACTTCTTCCAGTAATATTTACAATCTGTGTGACAAAAAGCATCTTTTGTTGCTTTAAATATTTAACTTCAGAGATCAATTTGTCGTCAATTATCGTTTTTCTTCCCCGATATTTGCAGGCTTTTTTAGCTACAGATCTACCTTGCATTTGCCGCTCTTTAAGACGATTAGTTTCGAATTCAGCTATACTAGAAAACTAGAAAGAGTGAGACCTATTAATTTATTAATCTTAGGATCGTCGCAATAAGGTAAGTCGAGTAAGGAAAACATTATTAAATTTCATAATGTTTCTGTAGCGGCATTAAAAAATAAAAACTTTGGCATTGAACTATCTTCCCAGAAGGTCCCCCTTCAAGTATTGTCGTCGATTTATAACGTTTCACAACTGAGTTCGAGATGGTTCAGTGTGGGTCCGCTTAGTACACTAAAAACACCAAAGCAAAAGATAGTTACTAGAAATATTAGTAACTATCTACAAATTCAAGTCCTCGGTCTATTAGGACATCTCAGCTCATATATTACTATATTTACACTTAATGCCTATCAAACGGGTAGTCTTCCCGTGACCTTACTCACTTACGTGATGAGAATACTTATCTTGAGGTGGGCTTCCCACTTAGATGCTTTCAGCGGTTATCCTCTCCATACATAGCTACCCAGCGTTTACCATTGGCATGATAACTGGTACACCAGAGGTATGTCCTTCTCGGTCCTCTCGTACTAAAGAAGGCTCCTCTCAATATTCTAACGCCTACACCGGATATGGACCGAACTGTCTCACGACGTTCTGAACCCAGCTCGCGTACCGCTTTCATGGGCGAACAGCCCAACCCTTGGGACGTACTACCGCCCCAGGATGCGATGAGCCGACATCGAGGTGCCAAACCTCCCCGTCGATGTGAACTCTTGGGGGAGATCAGCCTGTTATCCCTAGAGTAACTTTTATCCGTTGAGTGACGGCCTTTCCACTCAGTACCGTCAGATCACTAAGACCGACTTTCGTCCCTGCTCGACTTGTAAGTCTCACAGTCAAGCTTCCTTATGCCTTTACACTCTAGATACGATTTCTACACGTTCAGAGGAAACCTTTGTACGCCTCCGTTACCATTTGGGAGGCGACCGCCCCAGTCAAACTGCCCGCCTGAAACTGTTCTTTGACCAGATTATGATACAAAGTTAGAAATCTAACATTACCAGAGTGGTATCTCACTGATGGCTCCTAAATTCCCGCAAGAATTAATTCAATGCCTCCCACCTATACTGCGCAAATAAAGTCCAATTTCAATTTCAAGTTACAGTAAAGCTTCATAGGGTCTTTCTGTCCAGGTGCAGGTAGTCCGCATCTTCACAGACAAGTCTATTTCACCGAGCCCCTCTCTGAGACAGTATCCAAATCATTACGCCTTTCGTGCGGGTCGGAACTTACCCGACAAGGAATTTCGCTACCTTAGGACCGTTATAGTTACGGCCGCCGTTCACCAGGGCTTCAGTTATCAGCTTCGCAAGTGCTAACCAACTTCTTTAACCTTCTGGCACTGGGCAGGCGTCAGCCCCCATACATCGTCTTACGACTTAGCGGAGACCTGTGTTTTTGGTAAACAGTTGCTTGGATCTTGTTATTGCAACCTTATAAATAAGGCACTCCTTCTCCCGAAGTTACGGAGTCATTTTGCCGAGTTCCTTAGAGAGAGTTATCTCGCGCCCCTTAGTATACTCTACCTACCCACCTGTGTCGGTTATGGTACAGGCATTATTTATTTATGACATTGCGAGCTTTTCTTGGAAGTCTGACATACACTGCTTCAATGCCGTAGCATCTCGTATTCACGCCTTAGCTCAAAACGTTTTCTCCGTTTCTCAACACCTCGAACGTTTAAACCGGTAACCAATATCCGGTCAGTTTAGCCTTCTCCGTCCTTCGTTATCAATAAATAATGGTACGGGAATATTAACCCGTTGTCCATCGACTACGCTTTTCAGCCTCGCCTTAGGTCCTGACTTACCCTCCGCGGACGAGCCTTCCGGAGGAAACCTTGGGTTTTCGGGGTATAGGATTCTCACCTATATTTTCGTTACTCAAGCCGACATTCTCACTTCTGCTTCGTCCATATCCACTTACGTTAATACTTCAATCTACAACAGAACGCTCCCCTACCGATATATTCAAAATATATCGCACAGTTTCGGCAAATTACTTAGTCCCGTACATTTTCGGCGCAGGTTTACTCGATCAGTGAGCTATTACGCACTCTTTAAAGGATTGCTGCTTCTAAGCAAACCTCCTGATTGTCTATGCACTCCCACCTCCTTTATCACTTAGTAATTATTTAGGGGCCTTAACTGGTGCTCTGGGCTGTTTCCCTCTTGACAATGGAGCTTATCCCCCACAGTCTCACTGATAAACTTTCCACTTAGTATTATTAGTTTGCAACGATTTGGTACCGAATTACCAGCCCGCATACGTAACAGTGCTTTACCCCTAAGTTATAACATTTATCGCTGCGCCAAAACGCATTTCGGGGAGAACCAGCTAGCTCCGAATTCGATTGGCATTTCACCCCTAACCACAGTTCATCCGCTGATTTTTCAACATCAGTCGGTTCGGTCCTCCACTTAGTATTACCTAAGCTTCAACCTGACCATGGTTAGATCATCCGGGTTCGGGTCTATAACCAGTGACATATGCCCTATTCAGGCTCGCTTTCACTATGGCTCCGGCATTCTCTGCCTTAACCTGCCACTACCTATAAGTCGCCGGCTCATTCTTCAACAGGCACGCAGTCAGACGTTTTAGTCGTCCTTCTACTGATTGTAAGTTTATGGTTTCATGTTCTTTTCACTCCCCTCCCGGGGTTCTTTTCACCTTTCCCTCACGGTACTGTTCACTATCGGTCATTCAGGAATATTTAGCCTTACGAGGTGGTCCTCGTAGATTCACACGGAATTTCACGTGCTCCATGCTACTTGGGATTCAATTTGATTATTTCAATTTTCGATTACAAGACTATCACTTTCTTTGGTCAAGTATTCCAACTTGTTCATCTAACTGTCCTAATCGATTAACAATTGTCCCACTACCCTTAATAAAATTAAGTTTAGGCTTCTCCCAATTCGCTCGCCGCTACTAAGGGAATCGTTTTTTACTTTCTTTTCCTCTAGGTACTAAGATGTTTCAGTTCCCTAGGTTCGCTCTTTCTTATCTATATATTCAATAAGTAGTATAAAAAGTTTCCTCATTCGGAGACCTCCGGATCATAGCTTGTTTCCAACTACCCGAAGCATTTCGCTGGTAACCGCGTCCTTCATCGCTTCTGAATGCCAAGGTATCCCCCATAAACTCTTAATTCCTTGAATTTAAAACTTTCAATTTGATTTTTAAGAAAATTAAATAATCTTTCCATGTGGAGGTAAGCGGATTCGAACCGCTGACAACCGCCGTGCAAAGGCGGTGCTCTACCAACTGAGCTATACCCCCGTTGGGCCATTCTGGATTTGAACCAGAGACCTCACCCTTATCAGGGGTGCGCTCTAACCAACTGAGCTAATAGCCCATTTTATAATTAATTATCAACCATAATTTTTAAAGCATTCTTTAAAAGGAGGTGATCCAACCGCACCTTCCAGTACGGTTACCTTGTTACGACTTCACCCCAGTCACTAATTCTACCTTAGGCATCCTCCTCCAAAAAGGTTAGAGTAACGACTTTGGGTATAACCAGCTTCCATGG